ACCAAACCCTTGCCTCCATCCTGATAAGCTGCCTTACGGAGCTAGCACCTGCTGTTAATTTCACAGTAAACAATACTTGTTGCTCTAGAAAGCTTTTTAATCATAACATTAAAAAACTGAACAGAAATCCCATCCATACAGTTAACTCCAGCTGCCTTTCTTGCAATGCGTGGGGAATGATCTTGCCGAGTGATGGGCATCCAAATGCAAATGGAATTAGCTTTGCAGCCATTCATTTTGAATTGCTCTTGAATCATTCTGAAGTAAATTCCATTTGAGAAGAATTTGCTTCAGGTCTCACACAAAGAGATAATGGTCCAATATATTATGATCTAAGCAATAATAGTTTAAGTCTCGCATTTCAGAAATATAGTGAGTTATATGCTGGGCTGATGAGAATTAAAGCTTGATATATAGTAATAAAACTAGTGATCTAGAGATGAATAGATTGGTGTACGGAGCACAATATTTTCCTGCCACAGATTAGAGCGGGGAAACTAGTCTATAAAAAGGGAAGTATACCATAAAATCTCCTTTTTCACTTGTTATGCATGAAGAGCTATAATATGTACAATTTTACAAACAAATGCATGAAAAGAATAAAGACCTTTCCTAACATCAAAAGGTTCCTGACTTAGGCAAAGATTTGTTTTACCTTAAAAGATAATTAAACTAAAATTCCTATGCGTGACAGTCCATGCTAGCTACTATGAATGCTGATTTCAGTGACACTTCACCTGTTCCTATAGATTTTGCATTTGACTTGCCTTTAAAAAAACATATAGTTGTCAGATACTACAGAAGGCAAATAAAAGAGCGTATCTGTATTTGGGCCAGCAACTAAAACAAAAAATTCCAAATTAAGTTTATAGATTAAAATGGCTTTTTAATAATTTCTTTTCTTCATATGAGTGAACTGCATGAGTGAAACCAGTTTAGCGGTGCCATTAATCAGGTCTTTTGTCTTGCTAATATAAATCAGTCAATAACAACAGATGGGCTGTACACTTTATTATGTGAAAATAAAGATGAATGTGACATACTGCAGAAGTAAACTTGCAGCTCAAAGTTACTGAACACAGAAGGGGATTTGTTGCAACAGGGGAGAATGATGCGTGCCTCGGTTTTGCGTTTGATCAAGGTTGTAAGGGGAACTTGCTGCGCATGACATTGACATAATGATTAGAAATCAAGTACGTGAATTTTTTGTGTTTGTTTGTATCTACACTCCCAGATCACTCCCAAATGGTTTAATTAGCTTTTTTCCTCCAGACAGGAGAAAAAATGTCTAACTCCTTAGGAGAGTTAAATAAGAGAGATATAAAGTTTGCTGCTTTGTTGCGCCGTCGGGAGATGAACATTTTAAATAAACAATGACAACTGGCGGGAAGATTCAGATCAAAGTCTCAGGCAAGATTTATCCCCTTGTACAGAGATGGAGCACACAACGAGAGGCGACCCTCATCCAAATTATAGGCCATTACACTGCCATTATAATGATGCTCACATGTTGCTGTAAGCATTACAATGAAGGCATAACAGCATATCAGTCTAATTAAAAAAAAATGAAATGCAAGACTTGGATCCAAGATGCATGTTAAGGTTGATGGTTCAAAACCCTGTCCCAGATCAGCAGCCGAACTGCCTGACTGTCCCAAGCTGTGCCACAGCTGTGCCTGTTGTGATGGGCAAGCCATCATGAGGGGATTTAAAGTTCTTCCTCCTCAATGCGTCTTCATCCCAAGAGGCAAGTACCGCAGCACGACACAGGGGGACCGCGGCTGCACACCCTGTCTACCTGTAAACCGCCATCCTGCGACTTCAGCCGGTGGCGGCTGGCGTGCCTGGGCGGGAGGGGAGCGGGGGTTTGCCTCCCCGCAGCAGCCGATCCCATCTCTTTGGGGAATGCAGGGAACACCAAGTGACTTCCCGCTGCGATCCGCACGGGCAGATAAAGCCGCCGGTTACCTTTCAGCAGTCAATAGCAGGAGTGCGGGGCCCTGAATGCTAATGCAGGTAGGACTAGCTTTGCAGTATGATCAGGGTTTTTTCTGCCAAACACAGAAAAACACAGTCGTGGTCATATTCTGGATGCTCCTCTTAAGAATCTGCTCTATAAAAAAAGTAACACCAGTGTTGCTACTAATAGCAGTAGTAAGAGGGCAAGGATTGAATGAATGTACTCCGGTTTAAAAAGCCCAAAAAATCTGTCCTAGCTACTATCTTACATTTATTCTAAAAGTGCAGATTTTAAATGCCAGTTTCCAGGGACAAGGCAGCCTCTGTGCACTCTGTGTGACGGTTTGTGAATGGTTTCCATCTATATCCCTAACATATAAGAGCAGTTCAGATGCCTCTCAATAGCAATGAGAAAAAGTGTGGAAAAATAAAGCTGGGCTTTATTATTGCTTAAGAAGAGTAAGGTGGAATTGTACAAAGAAGCCAGTAAGGAAACTGGCTTGTACCTGGCTGCTGGATGCCAGGCTGGTGAAGGGAAACATCTATCGCCACAATCAAAACGTGAGACTAGATTGTCACATACTGGGCAGTACTGTGAATCCACTTTAACATAAAAATAATATTTAAACTTTAGAAGCAGTTACTTTCAGGAGGGAAAGCCAAAGCCCACACACATTCTCCAGGCTGATTAAAGAAATAATTTTTAAAACCACCTTTTTTCTTTTCTGCAGCTTGCTGATACCTGCTTTTAGACTTTCTAGTTACATCTTTGATAAGATGCAGTTAATTGGTCAGGCAGCGTAAGTATTGTCTTTGATACCGTGCAGAAACCTAGTGGTGAAAATAAATACATTTGTTCTTCCAGTCACCAGAAATTAGTGAAGCAATACTTGTTTAATTATAAAACATATGTGTGCTTTGTTAGTTTCCATCTGTCTGCTCGCTGATTTGCAATTAAATGACCAGAAGAAAAAGATACGTCCTGTGGCAATTCAGGGGAAATGATTCATCTCTAATGTTTCTGTGTTGTGGATGTCTGTGGAGCAGCGTGTGGGAGAGGGAGAGGGAGGGAGTGGGGAAGAGGGGGAGATACGGAGAGAAGGGGCTGAGGAATGCTGAAAAGCCTCTTGCTTTCTCTTTGGAAAAAACTGGGGAGCAAAATGGAGCAAGGAAGAAATACCTAACGGGGAGAGGAACTGGGATTGCAGAAAAAGGAGGGTGATGTGGTCAGAGTGAAAAGAAAACTGCAGAAAAAAAGGAAGGATGGAAAAGTGATAAGAATTAAATCTAATTTGAATATTCGGAGATGATGAGTTGGAGATGGAAATGGAGTTGTTATAGTATGTCACAGATTTTCCCTTTGCTAGAAAAATGTCAGGCCTTATTTAGTGGCACTTTCTTCTAGCATTGAGACAGTTCACTTCTATTAACTCTCAGAGAGTGATGAGGTAGTGAGTCAGGCCTGTTACTCTTTGTAAAATGAGACACCCAAAAGGACAAGAGTATTTTTAAATTAATATGAAAAAAAAAAAAAATCGGTGAACATATATTCTCTTCATAAATAGTTCAAGAGGTTCGCAGAATCTTTTGCTGTGTAAGATATTCCCACCCCTGATAAAGACGTACAGTCTACCTCCATATAGCTACATGGATGGGTACCACATTACCTTCTCCCCCTCTCTCCTTCATCTGTTCCTGTTCTTTCTTGTCTTTCTGCAAAAGCAGTAGGTGGAAAGAGAGCCTTTCATGCCCCTTATAATTCTGGACACAGCCTGCACAGGCATGTCTCAGGTACGGGGAGGTAGCCGTCTGACATTTCATCTTCATGAAGACTGGCAGGGAGAAGATAGCCAGCCTTCCACAGTATTTTTAGTTTGATGTTCTGTGGTGTTTTATTGATCAGCAGCAGCGTCCGTCACTGTCTATAACGATAACTGCTTCAGAGGCAGAAAGAGGGAGATTGAATAAGGCCTTCAGGACTGTCAGCTTGCTGCTGGTGCATCTGTCAGTAGTTGGTGCCGCCCCCCCCTTTGCCGCTGGGAGCCTCTTGGATGTTCTTGTGCACTGACGGCAGGTGGGCAGGTGGATGGGAGAGGGTTATTCTCTGCCGAATCGGTGCTTTCTGATGTGGAGGACTTCCTCTGCAGGAAGGGGCGGAGGGGTTGTAAAAGGGAATTTGTGAAGAGGGAGAGAAAGAGAAAGGAAAGTATGGTGTTAGGTGTTTTCAGTGTTGCCTCCTGTGCGTTGGATTCTTTTCCTCCTTCTCCAGGCTTCTTACATCGACTTTATTCATTACCAGCAGCACCATAGAGGTGCAGAGGTTCCTTGCGTCGATAGCACGCGTCCGTGTTGGCCCAAAATGTCACCATCTCACAGCTGCTCTGCCCCATATCCCAGCTCCTGATTCCTCTCCGTAGCGAGGACTGCACAGACCAGTGTACTACAAACGAAGTAAATAAAGCATAGCTTGGCACCTTCATTAGAAGTCTTAGCAAGAGAGTCAGGGTGTGAACAAAGAAGCGCAGACTGGACTTGCTTTTAGTCTTTTGCCCTTGGAGCAGATTTCACATTGCTCATTGGAAACGAAAGGCGCTATTTCCTATTTGTACCAGCCTCAGCCAATACTAGCTATGTGCATGCACTTGATTAAACAGTGTGATAAGTCACTATTGAAAAGTGTGACCTTGAAGCCTCCAAAAGTTTCTATTCTTTCTTTTTCTGGTTTTGCAGGCAACTCTCCCCAGCACTAACATAATGCTTTATTGCTAGTATTGCCGGTGATGATAACAAAGGACCATTCCCAGACATGTGAATGTGTACGTTCCTGTCACATCACATAGAGGAGAGAGAGCTCAGGATGTAAAGAACAATTTCTTCTAGTCTGAAAACTGCAGTGCATTTAAGCCTCGGTCTAGGAATGCTCCTAAGATAACAATTTATTCAAAAAGTATGCTCCTTTTGAAATTTTCAGAAAGTGCTTGTAAGTGTGTGCCAGCTGAATTTTGGTTGTTTCATTTATCCTTTTTGTCTCTTCTCTACAGATGATGATTTTTTTCATGAACTTCCAGAAACTTTTCCCTCTGATCCTCCAGAGCCATTGCCCCACTTCCTCATCGAACCCGAAGAGGCTTACATTGTGAAGAACAAGCCCGTGAATCTGTACTGCAAAGCGAGCCCAGCCACGCAGATCTATTTTAAGTGCAACAGCGAATGGGTTCATCAGAAGGACCATGTGGTGGATGAGAGAGTAGATGAAACCTCTGGTGAGTTTGTGTTGTGTCATGGAGGGGTGAGGATTAAAAAGCGTTAATATCAAGCCCACCATTGTAATCTAGTAGCTATTTCCTATGGCAGCTACTTTACTCTTGATACAGCTGTGAATTCTGTATCTGGCATTACTGAACATTAACTGTCACAGCACAGAGGTGGTGTCTGCATCCAGGTCAGTTAGTAAAACATGACTGTAGAGCACCCTGCCCGAGTTTGAAAGAAAAAAAACCAGGAGAACCATGCACAAACAAAATGGAATTGCTTTCTCAGCCAGGTCTACTCCCTGTTCACTTCCCCAGTGTCACAAATTCCCAGTGGTTGCACTGTATCGTAGTCACAGACCAAGAACCGCATTCTCCCCAAAGTGCCGAAGAGCAATTGGGTTGTTCCTAGAATGCTATTTTCTTGGGGAGATTCAAGAAAAAAAGGAGAAAGTTAATCAGCTTCCAGCAAGAAAGGAGAAAGCACACCTGGGCACAGTTTAGAGCAGTGTATTGATCCAGAGCAAGCACCTGGCTGTTATTCCATTACACTTTTCTGCATGCTCCACAGAGCCTGGATGAAGCAGAACTACAGTAGGTTAGCAAGGAA